TATCTTGAGGTATTTCAACAATGCAGTTTCTAAATATTTTGGGTTTTTATTGTAATTAGTTACTTCAGTTCAGATCATTAAAAACAATAGAAAGAAAAGCGACAAGGTTACTTACTGGTTTCTTAAAATGGAGCCTTTTTAAATACTGTTCATTAATATTTGAATTTCAGCAATTGAAATTGATTTAATATTATTATACTTGTAACTATTTACATGTAAAGTGTTTATTAGTAAGTACAATTGTAGTACGATTATACAATCATTGGCAGCAATCTCTAAATCTCCTCGCAGACGCCGAAATTATCGCGTGTATCGGTGCCAATAGCTGTCTGATTGATGGCTGATCCGGCGGCCATTTATCCATTCGTGAAACAGTCGACTGATTGACAGCAAAAATCAAGATGAGGCTAATCAAAATAAAACGAAAGCGCTTCCAAATCACAACTTCCTGTGGAGTCCCTCAAATTATACGAAAACGTATTAAGCATCAGCCACTGGAAATTATCATGTGGCGTGCTGGAAATTGGCGTGCAACTATACGTACGATTTTAGAAATGAGTAATTGCTGTCGAAATTTAGCGCTCGAGGGTGCGCACCTGCGGGCGCTGAGATTCATTCATGAGAGAAGCGAAATAAAGCGGCGAGAGGTCGAGAACAATCCGCGGCCGATAATAACAGTTGGCTTTTCTTAGAAACAGTGTGGCGCGGAGGCTTCGACGGAGGGTGTGTTCGTGTCTCGCTCGCACGGTTGGAGAGTGAGCGAGAGGGCGTGGGCGGGGCTCAGCATGTTATGTCACGTCGCGGGCGGTGAAGGCGTCCGAAGCGGAGTGCGCGCTGCACGCTGCACTCTCTGCATCCGCTACACTTCCCGACTTTTCATTATTAACGCTTGTTAAAGGAGCCGAGGTCAGCGCGTCAGATAAATATTAAGTCAGGTGGACCCACCTCGGTACGCCGCTCCACGCTTTCTTATTTATGTGTTAATCGTATTATCGAATCTGTTGTGCAGTTAGTGTATGGCGCCGATTATCTTACACAGCTAATAGGTATACACAGAATATTATACAGATAAGATTTGGCTGTCCACGGATATCTTGGTAAAGATTAACTTGATTGGATAAATGCCTAATACTTATTGTTATAAAATTAATATCGACTCTGTTTACATATTATTTTGTATGTAATAAATTTTACCACTTGATTCATCGTCTACCTAATAAAAAAGAGAAAATAAGATGAAATGTGTGACGTAAACTAGCACATTATACGTTAATACTCTTAATAAACATTCTCAATAGCTCAAAGGATTAGCATAAATGGATTGTTATTGAATAAGTTTCCATGTCATTTATTGGCATGTATAACATAAATACAGTAACATATAATAGGATCATCACTATCACCGGTATTCACGCACAAATATACGTGATTTATTCAAACTTTGATTACCTGCTGCTTGTCGGGGGATGAATAAAGTATTTTATGTGAAAATTACTGGCGGACACAAATGAAAACATTTTTATGCATAAATAAGGCGCGTTCGATAGAAACGGCACGATTCAGCCGCACATGGCACAATGCGACGGTTTTATTACACGAGCCAACGGTGAGGCGACGTTTATAAATCATACTTTTATGGTTATTCTTAGCGATAAAGTCGACGTTTCTAGCGTCGATGTGAACGCATGTGCGCCTACGGCAACCGGTGTGGTGTTCCATGTTCCTATGCACCAGCGCCGAGCGCCCTGTGACTTCCCTAAGATATCGGAAAAGACCCATACCCGTTATTACATTGACGAAACTGAAGCCGGAAAACAAATTACCAAGAAAACGGTATTTCTATGAAAGAATTAGTCACAGTAAACAATGGCAGCATTAATTAATTGGCATTAGCACACAATAAATTACAATTCATTAATTTGTTTTACTTATTTAAAGAAATATGAACATGAAATAAGTTTTCAAAGCTACTTCGAAGACTAAAGAACGAAAGTAGGTTGAATCGGACTTTCTTCATAGATTAGTTATGCTGCAAATTATTAGTACCGACTAGATTATAAAGACGGCAGGCAAATCTAATTGATGAAGTGATCAGATAATGCTGGTTAGATTACACCACCAATTAAGAAAATGTGAATCGAAGTCTTGATGTCTTATTTATTTTACTACTTAATAGTGTTTAGTGCTTGTTTTAAATTTCCTCTTCATCGTCAGAAACACAGGACTTCCCGCAACCGACACTACGCAAACACAGAAATGTTATTATCCTTATTACAATATTGTGAGAACCGGTAGGTACCTCCCCACCTCGAATCTAATCAGTTCATTAATCAATAGGTAAGACGACAGCATGCTGTTTAAAAAATTATCTGCCGTGTCCAAAGTAATGCTCGGGTAAATCTACTCGAATACTTGAAATGGTTTCTTGAAGCTTAGAACCTCAAGAATAATGTAAAAATACAAACATTCGACTTCTCATTTGTTATATTTAACAATCATCAAATACCCAAATAAGGCTTTTAAGCCACAGCTAAATAAAAACAAGTTTTTTCACCAAAAAAGGGTATAGAAACTGATGTTTACACTAAAATGTTAATCGTAGAGGATGGCTATTAATTTTAAATTAGCTAAATAAGCGTGTTGCCCTAAACAGTTTCGCAATCGAGGGTATTAGTGGTGTATAAATTGGCCAATCAATCGAGCCTTCCGACTCCCGCTTCGTTACAAACAACCTGACTACAGCGAATTAGAGAGGGGCCTATTTGTATTTCCAATACGGACTACAAAGGGATATAGCCAATATTTACATGGTAGTCGACACAGCCAGATATTTTTACCACAAAGGCTTTCATCGTTTCTATTACCTAACTAATGGATAGCAGAAATGCATGTGTATTGTATATTAAATATCATACAAAACATTTCGTGTGTTGATTTATCACTGAATTTGTGAATCAAAGCCGACGAAAACCGATTAAACATAAGTAAAGTGAATATCTTGAATTACATATCTACGTGGGAGGATATAAATACGTTTTAAGCCAATTTGGAAGCTCTAGCAACTGCAACTTATATTAAATTATTACCAAACTGGTTTTTGTTTTAAAACACTGTTGCTAATCATTAAAAGTCAATTTTATAAATTTAAATGTAAACATAAAACCACCTCTATATTGCTGTGTTAAAATGCTAACATCGAATTTATGGGTAATTTGAGGCAAATGTTGTATTTAATAGTTTTTCTTCCATGTTGCATAATGGGATGGTCGCCGGTTTGTGTGTCCATTACAATACATGTATATTAAAGTTGTCTAAAGGACCTCTGCGCAGTTGGCTTCATCCCCTCGTATGCCTCCCAAATGACTGGGACCCTGTGGTCCCGTGAATGGTAAAAACACACATAGTAATAATTAAAAACAGGATCTATTTATTTGTTGGTATTTAAGTACATGTCATTATTGTAACTGATTAGCGAAACTTCCAGAAACATCAATTTTCAAATCGTTTAGCACTGCTTTATTTTCTTTAGCCTCTATATTTTAGCTGTTCATAAAGGTGTGAATGCTGGTTTGTAATTGAACCATTAATTCATGAAAGGGGTTACAGCGGTACGTCTAATATATCGAGAAATACAAAATAGCATGTAGAAAGCAAAACCGACCGTTGCTTGTAGTATTCCACCTCTTTAGTGGCTTATCTAAGGACACACAATTAATGGAATTTTTTTATGGAATAACCCGGTAACGAGCTGGTGGTTCACCTGACGGTAAAAGCAATCGGCGCCGTCCATGGACACGCAAAACACCAGAGGTGTAACACTTGTAACACCTCTTGCACTTGCGTTATCGGCCTTTTGGGGATCAGGAATTGGAGGAATGTTGAAAATCAAGGGATTGGGAAGGGGGTAATGGGGTAAAAACTGTGATCTTCAACCCGATCGCCCACTACTAAGCGTGGCAAAGATGGCAAACCTTATGAAGAGGAGACTCGTAGGTCTGACACGGGCAGCCCTTGACAGGCCACATAAAATATGATGATGATGATAAAATCGAGATTTAAACACGTATAATATCAAATCTACTTCGGTTTAACTTTCTACACGCTGTCAGTAATTAATCAATGGTCTCTGTAATGAGCCTTTGTCGCTACTGATTGTGTTAATCAAATCGTACTGAGAACGATCTTACTAATATATGTAATTATTTCCTAATCAAATGGAAATTACTACACGTAATGCGTGTAACAATTTCGTTGACTGCAAGCTTAAAATTACCAAACGTTACCTTTAGCCAGTAAAGGAAATTGTGTCAGAAAAATAAGAAAAAACGATATGAATTCTACCGTAAAATACTATAGTCAAATTGTATAACGAAATAAGCAAGTATCTAATCTTTTCTTCCTGCTTTGAATGAGTAATTCGAAGATACACGCGCTACCGACATTATCGGTCTCGATTAAATTTCGAAGGTGAAAACAAATAACTAACCGACCTATGTTTTGTTCACAGTTAACCAATAAAGTCGAAAGTAAGTCTCGCTGTGTTATTGTATAAATTAATAAATAATCCGTTATCTTAAATCATCGCTATTAATGTAACCATATTATCAGATTCTACGAAAATTATAAGCTGATAACAAATGTGTACAATGTATTAGTGTGGATCTTCGCACTGGAAATCGTTGGTTCTTGCAAATATCAGCAAGTTCTTTTTTATCAGTTTAGTATCAGTTTGGAACACAAAAATGAGCTACCAAAATATGTTTTGATAGGATATGCCACTATCTTTAGTATCACTTAACTGTACATAGATTCCTATGGGACGAGTTTATTCATTCAGATGTCGTAACGTAATACTCTGCACTTTACATTCATAAAACATGAATGATCCTGTTCCGTTTCTCCAAATCACTTTAGAAAGTATAATTGTTTCACAATGAATGAACAAAAATATGTTTTATTTATAGGCATTATTATAATGTCGTAATTTTGAACTATCTTACCAAGATTCGCGTAGTACCCTGCTGGATGCATCGCGTCTATTGATCACCGCAAACTTTCCATTTGTCACTTACCTAAAACGAATACAACATAAAGTAAAGTTTAACAACAAAAATATTTTGAAGGAAATAAGTGAAATTATAAAAGGGAAAATGCCAATCAACGCGACATGACAGTTACAAACAATATCTTAACATATAGGTACACCCGAATACTAAAAGGCTACTCAATTTAAGATGTACTTACATTACGTGCCATCTCTGTCATTCTACAAGGATTTTGAAGTGACAGAACGATACTTAAGCGCGACTTAAAATTGAGTAAGTTTCAGTATTTGAGCTATAGTATTTCAAACCTTAAGTTACTGGTATGAAGAGGATAATAATATAATTATATTTTTCGTTCCAATTGCTCCGATCCAAAAAACCCATTATCATATCGAATTGGTAGTCTACAAGACCTTTGCATATTAATACACAGTCTTATTTCAAGAATACAGAATATTTAAACCAAACTGCAAAGTTAAAGGTCAAAGTTTTTGTTTCATATAATAATACCTTAATGAGTTGTTAGTTTATCAATATTGTGATTCATTGTTACATTAGGTATTTTTATTGATTTAGGTAAATTCTTTTAACTTCACGTAAAAGAGATCGAAGTGTCCTAGGATTAGGTTTATATTAAAACTTGCGTGAGTTTGTGTTCCTTGTCAAACAGTTACCGAGTGAGTAAGCGGAAAACATATTAATTAAGTCCTAGGGTTAGTTACGTAGAAGTAAAAATATATTAATATATTATTTGTCTATCTCCATCAAATCCTATAGATCTTTTGTCACCGCGGAGAACGAAACGGCCGCGGAGAACTTAATGGGTTACCGGGGCTCCGGCTCGAAGTGCAGGAGTAGGAACGGGGTGGTTTTTAGTCAGTAAGAGTCTGACACGCCTCACTCAGGCGGGAGAAGTGATTCGATGATTTTCCCCCCTTAAATAAATATATCTTTTGTCATATTTCGGTTTGTTTATAACTCCAGCTATTGTTTTAGCTTTTACAAACTAATCTGTGATAATAATCTCTCTGTTTTGTTTAATTTCCTTATTTCTCTTATTTCCTCAACTTAGCTTCGTAGTAGAGTAGTCTTCTATGCAAATTGTAACGCATAATTTCAATTTTTCTTTTGTTTGACAAAATAGATATTAACAACTTAATTTTGCTATTTTAGATCATACATGTACTTCTTTCAGAAGAGTAAGAAGAAATCAGAATGAAGTATTTACTAACTTTATTCTCAAAACAATAAATGTAAACGCTTAAACAGCCAACAAAGTCATCATTGCTCCACAACTTACCTAGCGTAAATGATTCAGTAATCACACTGATTAATTTGGATATACGAATTATATAGACCGCAGAATGTACGTAATAATAACAGACCGTGCGTGCAGTAAATAGGTACAGTCGCAAGGTAATGTCTGTTACAGATGCTAATCTCAACAATTATATTTATTATCCATTTTGCACTAAAGTGTATTAAAACCAACCTTTAGAGAATACAATGTAAGGAAATTACTCGCGACTTTTATTTTCGCGACCAAAAATTGCTTTTCCTTGTAACGTCATACCACAAAGCTGCGTTTCAGTTTATTTTTCACTTTTGAAATAGAATTTCCACTCTATATGGTGTGGTTAATCCACACTGGCCCCAACGTTACGGTGAAATCAGAAACGAATCTGTGAACATTTCGGTGGCGAGTGTACAATTCCCAGTTATTAACAATAATCAATAACCGCACATAATCTACATGAGAGCTAGGTCCGAGTGTGCGACATGAAATGGTTATCGACACGACCGACGGTCGATTTCACCTCTGTCACATAATTCTCCAGCATTATTTGTGTCCGATGTGCATGGAATATTCGGCATAGGGGCCAAAATTCATGTTGCAAGGGCTGCATATTCGGGCCGAGGCATGCGGAGGCGAGCACACGTGGCTGCCACGGCTGCCTGCCTCGGAATCTGACCAAATGCCCATCGGAGCTCGATTGTTAGCTAAATAGCAATGGCTTATTTATGAGCTGTACTGTTTGTGGTCGATGCTACAGCTACATGTTACTGTGAGCGGAAGGAATTTTCAGGATTCAGTGAATTTATTAAGTAATAAACCAGTGAGTTGAATAACAAATACAAAGGAATATTAAATTAAATCGTACTGTATATATGTGTGTGTGTGGTGGTTGTGTGCTCTACACACATCGTACCTATATATTTTCTACATTATAGAAGTATAGAGGGGTTTGTCGACAGATAATGATGTTATGATAATAAAATTTTCATAATATGACGTTTGATAAAGAATAAAGAGAAAAGAAGAAGTGCTGACTGTAAAGACAAGTGCAGAAAGAACGAGATATAGAAGAAGAGAAATGAATATAGATAGTATCAAAAACCACATGGTTTATTATTATTTGTACTTAGGTATTTTGTTTCAGGCCTTAAACAGTACTTACTGTAGGTGGATATAATGAGATTATAAGTTTTCGCGGTTATTGTATTTTACGTACAGACCGATTTACAATGTTAAAGAATAGATAATCCTCATAAATCGCAATTTACGTCGTGACAAACGATCTGCGTTGCGTCGCTTAGTTTGGAAATCGCGTATAATGCCGCTATTGTTAATTATACAAGTCACCGCGTCGCTAAACATACGATTTATTGTCAGTTAACTGGAACGGCAATACATCTAGCGTGAGATCTGTGCGGCAGCCGCGTCACGCCTTCGCTCAATACACTAAAACATTGAAAAATTAAGACTAATTATGATCGTCTAGCTGCTCGCAACACGGAACATGTCACATCCTTTCAAGAGATTAACTTTCCAAAACACGACATTTACTTACCAACATTTACTCATTACTAAACCGCTCTTGAAATCATAATGAAGCATGTAGGCGGACAAGGCATTCTTATTTAAAGTCGCATATCAATAATACTAGTTTACGATTTGAAAAATCGACATCTTTGGTTCTCAACAACGCAGTAATGTCTGTCGATGTGCGATCGAACGTAAAGATAAGAGAAATCGGGCTTCAGATCTGATGGCTACGCTTTTTGGTTGAGAAAAACTACCGGCGACCTTACCGCTTTACTTAATAAACTTATGCTTTTAACAGTAACTTATCGCGATATCAAATCTGGAGCGGCGATTAAGAAACAATAGGACATAAATAAAAACTTGTGTTAGAGCGAGGCATGAAACGTTACGATTCTATGAATTTTGTGGAATACCTAATCAGTTATTAACATTGGACAGAGAGTATAGATTGCTGAAAATAAGTGAAATAGTGGTGGTTACAGGTGTCAGAGCTGTGGAGTTGGCTGGGGCTGTATATCTCTCAGTAAGCACCGGACAGAGGGAAATAAAACAATGGAACAATGAAATACGCGAGACTGAAGCGCGCCTCCGCTAATGAACTGCCGCGCCGCTGCCGCCGCCGCTCGGAACCCTCTCGGTATTAGACCAACATTAGTTTATGTTGAAATCACTCATTAATTACCTAACACCCATTATTTGAATTTATAATATTGTAAGATGTAACAGTTTTGCTAAGTTGTGAGATCACCTCACAACTAAATGCAATGACTCACCTATTGGTCTATTGGTGTAAATATGGCAATATATGAACTTTCAGTGTTTCCTCTAAGAGTGTTTTAGTCGTTTGGAAATCAATATCATGTCATGTCAAAACGATAAATCATCGTGGTGGTATAAAAGTTTTACGTCAAGCAAGTTGAATATGTGTAGATATGACAATGAATAAGTTAAATACAAATGTTATAAACGTTGAAAAGATTTATAATAAATATGTAATTTGATGTTGTGGCGTGCCGCGAGTCTCAAGAGCGTTCGTTAAGCGCGAGCGGTGCTAGATGAAAAAGCATCAGTCGAGGTCCAGCGAGGTATGCGCGGAATGGAGGGAGCATCCGGGCGGCTGCGATTGTTACCAGTTATCACTGAATGTTTTCCACCGGGCATTTTGTGCCGCTACAAAAAACCACATAAAGGGCGGGCGCGGCTCGTTTGAGACGCCGCCCCTGTGGGAAAATCGTCGCCAGAAAACTGCGACGCAAATAAATTATAAACTCTCTCGTGTGGAACGCGATGTCGCATATGTGGGCAGCTTTATGCGAAACGCATAAAGCGAGCTTTGTTAAAACTGCAACTATGTGTGCGGAAAAATAAAAACACCGCCACAAGAACGAGATGAAGTAGCGTTTTGTGATACAAATCGTCGGCGCAATCGGCCTTTGTAAATGTCGCGTGATCTCACGGCGGCGAGGAATCATTAGCGAAAACGGAGCATCCCGGAATAGACTGACAGCGGGACGATTGCAGCGCCCGTGATGGATTACGGGAGCCGACCGGGTTATTACCGCCCGCCGCTTAATACCCACTCTCGTCGGGAATTACGATATCTTCAAATTATAAAAAATAAAATCCACGCCTCAGAGGTGAGACCCGGTCATGCACCGTGTATTTTGGCATAATCTCGGCGTATACCTAGTATTTAAATCAAAACAACAGGTTTATGTCAGCAGAGTGGAAAATTTATTATAACCTTTATAATAAATAAGAATAATTGGAATTCTTCACAAATTCCACGAAATTAATTAGCCGATGTGTATAAAGTAAAATCACAAGAAGCTGGCGACACGGCTAAGTATGAGTGCGGGGCCGCGACCACGTCGCCGTCGTTCGCATTGAAAACTTGCAGAAAATGCATTTGCGATAAGAAAAAATTCAGTCCGTCGAGCACATATAAGTGCAGCATGGCGACGGTGACATTCCATGGGGAATACTTGGCATATCGAGACTTAAAGTAACCATTTACCGATTGCAGATACGCGATGGCCGACCGAGTAATCTGGTCAGATCGCTTCACTCGCATACTTGTTGCTACACATAATTTTTAACCTAAATAAGTAAGAAATACTTGTCTCCATGGTGTATTTAATGAGGTTGCGAGACACTGCGTGGCTCATAATAATTTACGGTCTCCATTAATTGGCTAACA